CGAGACCGTTTCGCAGGAACTTTACGTGACTGTCGCGCAGCAGCGTAGGAAACCTAAAAACGAACTAAGTTCATTTCGTGATGCTCAATTCGAATCAATCCTGATGAAATACATCGGCTCACTGTTAGAAGTTTCCATGTACCCCTGAAAGGATTCTTCTACCAGTTCCTCAACCCGACGCTGAAATGAATTTTGTAAATGCAATCAAAAGCGGAAACAAGTCGAAAATATTTCACTTGCTCCACGGACGTAAACGTAAAGAAATTGTCATCGTCTATTCGATATTTTTTGCTGAAATGGTAGAACTGCAGCGGCTCTGAAGGAAACTTAGCCGAAGAACCACTGTGATGCATGCCGGTCAAATTCTGTAAATAAACGTAATTAGCATGTGGCCGCGAAGGCGAAATTTTCGCTTACGTCTAAAACACGTTCAGCAATTTATCATAACGTTAATATGAATAATATCAAAACAGAAGCATAGGCAACAAAAGACTGAAACGTCACACATTGTCCAAGAAAACCCTTTCCACGTAACCGATGTTCGATTCAGTAATTGAATGATATAAAACACTTATCATTTTTATCACCATTACAATAACCACAGGCAAACTCCTTAAAAACTACAATCATACTTTCTACTACTAGCGATGCTTTTACTTTATTCTTTATTAATAAATTACTATCCTATCTGACTATCATAACCGTATTGTAATGGGAATTTATCTCTCAGTTGAGAAACTAGGCCAATCCTACAGGTACTGCAATATCAGTGATACCATTGGCCACGATAAAACAAGTATGCACCAAGCGCATGTGCTAAAAAATAAATAGGACCGCAATAAACACCATATTAACACCATAAGGTTAAGAGCTCAAGCCGACAAAAGCAGATACTAACTTCCATCATACTTTCACAACAGAGCAGCGAATGTGAGAAATTTTGTATCCATAATACATTAGCACTTTATTAGAAAAGCGTCATATAATTTGTACTGGTTCTTAATCATGAAATACTCCTCTAAATGAGTGAATACGTTTTCGAACCTTAGGATAGGGTTTCGTATCATTTCCTTCAGTAGATTTTCCACTCGTATGATAAACATTAACAGCAGCAAGGTTCGTTCTCCATGCTCAATTCCGATTGTTTCGATCTTCCTCTCCCCC